CGTCTTGGGGGCCTCTTTGGGCCGTCTTGGGGCCCTCTTGGGGGCTTTTGGGCCGTCTTGGAGACCTCTTGGGGGCTTCAAAGGCCATCTTGGGGCCATTTTGGAGGCTGCTGGGGCCGTCATTGGCTTCTGAGAGCCGACAAAGGCGAGAACGCTAAAATCTTCACAGAACTATACGAAAATCAATGATTTTGGTTTCTGGAGGCGCTATTGGGGGTCCTCTTGGGGCCCTCCTGGGGCGTCTTGGGAGCTTTTTGGGCCCTCCTGGGGCTATCTTGGGCCGTCTTGGGGCCATTTTGGGGCTCTCTTGGACCGCCCTGAAGCCAGCTGGAGCCGTCTGGACGCCCCTTGAGGGTGTCGAGGAGGGTCCAGAGTCCCAAATCAATGATTTCCATCGGTTTTGGTAGGGTTTCACAAAGTACGCGGAAACAGGTCGGAAACGGGTCGGCACCCCGGCTGCGGCCCTGGGGGGGGATTAAGGGGGGGTTACTTTGTAATGTATAAGAATGCAATGTTTTGCAAGTGGCCTTCCTTGACGCATCGTGGCTGGGCCCTGGCGTCACACACCCGCCCTGTCGGACTGCCGAGACGCTTCGCTGCAGTCCGGACGTGGATTCACGGGCTTACGCCGCAACGCCGACCCCTTGGGGGCCAAGCTGCGGGGTCACCAAGAAGCGACGGATAGGGAGCCTTCAAGAGTTGTTGGAGGCTTTTCGGCGGCTTCTTGGCTCATGTTCGTCCCGGGGTACCTTCGCTTGCAGTTATGGGCCTTCCTGGGGGCCTTGTGGGCCGTCCTCGGTCCCAACTGGGCGGTTGGGTGGGGATCTCTCGGCGGCCTCGGCGCGCGGGAGGTGCCACAGGGCGGGGCGGACGCCGTGACGAGAACATGCGGGGCGTCCCGTGCGGCGGCAGGCAGCTGCTCGGGTGGGGGCACGCGGCGAAGGCTGACCAGAATCTGACCGCCGCGCGGGGGCGCGACAGGGTCATGGTGACAGAGCGACGTGCCAGAATCCTGCGCACATGCGCCTCTTGGGTTGTTGTAGGGCGGTCTTTGTGACCGGTTGGGCCGTGTCGGAACGTCGGGAGTTCGAAGAGGCGTGGGCATCGGAACAGCGGGAGCCCGAAGGACAATTCAGTGTTTTTGCCTCTCAGGGCCTTGTTAGAGGTCCGTGTGGAACCCTTCGGGAGGAGCTCGAGAAGGCGAGAACATCGAAACAAGCCGAAGATTTTGGTTGGTTGGGCGGGTCGCAGCGTGAGTATTTCTCCGTGTATTAGTGTCCGTTATTTCTGTTTTCATCTTTTTGGTATCCGTCGGCTCATCCTGCCACGGTGCCCAGGTTGTGGTTCGGAGGCTTTGTGTGAGTTTGCGGTACTTCTGGAGAGCCTCTTGTGGCAGTGCGGAAGTTTTGGAGCGGCCATGTGAGAGCGTCGTTAGGTTCTCTTGGAGGCGTCTTGCGCCTCTGGGGGGCTTATGAGAGCTCCGCGGGGCTTCTCAGACCCGCCTTGGGTTTCCTGGTGGCCTCCTGGCGTCACTTGGGCCTGTCCTGTAGACCTCGGGGGTCGTCTTGGGCTGCTCTTGGGCCGTGTCGGCGCCTTTGTCAGCCGTCTTGACAACCTCTGGGCCGCCTCTTGGGTTGTCTTGGGACGGTCTTGGGGGCCTCGTGGGCCGTTTTGTTGCGAGCTCGAAGAGGCGCCAAGATCACCAGCAGTTGAGAACCTGAAGGGGATCCGTATTGTTCGGCCCGTGGGGCCCTGTCGGGGTCCTGTTGGCCCTCTCCGGAGGCGTATTCGAGGTCGCGTGGGTCCCCTGGCAGGATTACACCCGCCCCCGAGGACACCCCCTCCAAATCGTCTTCGTCCGCACGGTAGGGAGGAGGAGGAGGAAGAGGAGGAGGAGAGGGAGAAACTGAGTTTTATGAGGAAAAGGCTTCTTGGGGCCTTTGTGGGGCTTCCTGGGGTCCTGTGAGCTTCCTGAAAGCTTCGTAGAGGTATTTTCAGAGGAGCCCGCTCAAGTAGAGGTATTTCGAGAGGCGCCCGCTCAAGGGCGCCCATGGCGTCGCGGGCCCCAGACTTGTCTTCGAGTGGAAGCGCTGGGCGGGGTCGCGCGGCGAGATCGCCGGGGTCATCCGGTGCCGCGCGGCGCTGAGAGGCTTCCGCCGCGTGGGCGCCGGAGCCCTCGAGACGTTCGTCGCCCAGGCTGGGTGCGCGTCGCCGTGGGCGTCGAGAAGGCGTTCCTGCCGGGCATGACCTATGCCGAGATGTAGGGGCAGGGCGAAGCGCCCCGCGAGGTGGACTTCGCCCTGCCGCCTGGCAGCGCAGCTTTCCTCGGGCTGGTGCCAGGCTGCCGTTCTTTCGGCGAACGGGCCGAGTGCCCGCGCTGCATCGAGCCGGGCGCGGGCTGCAAGGGTGCGCCCAGAGCCTTCTCCATGAAACTCGCCCGTGTCGCGCGCTCTCCAGGGTGCAGCGCCGAGCCGACGAGGTGGGGCCTGGCGTTAGGGGTCGAGCGCGAGACGCTCGGTGCCTTAGGCGCTGGCGGCTCAGAGCTAGTGCTCATGCTGTCCAAGCGCGTTGATGATCGAAGATCGCTGGACGCATGGAGCACGTCGACCGGCTGATCGGTCGCGTGGAGATCGTCTGCGGCAAGGTGAGGGGGGATTACGTCGTTGTCGCCTTTTGCGGAGTCCATCAGCACCGCAGTGCCGAAGGTGCAGTGGCGCTCGACCAGACGAGTGCATTGCCGCCCTGACCCCCATCGGGCACGTCGACCCGGTCACGGCCAAGGCCGACGAGCTGGCTGGAGGTCAACTTCCAGATTTCTTTGTCTCCGTCCCAGGAGCAGCAGCGTACGCGGTGGGAGGGGGAGACAGGTCGCGGCATGGGAGGAGCCGTATACGCGCGTAGGCAAGTGCCGCAGCGCCCGTGAACAGGTATTCCACGTGCTCGACGCTGTGAGCCGATCGCAGAAGCTGGTGTGCAGATCATCGTTTGGCTCAGAGCTGCTCGCAGCATGTGGTGCTGCCGACGGCCTGCAGGTGCACCTCTTGACGCTCCACGAGATGGTGCGCTGACCTGCCTCATCCGAGGAGATCAGGAGGCCGAGGGAGGAAAGAGTATACGCCGTTCCGGCCGAGCTGGTCGTAGATGGCATGTCCGCCATTTCAGCTTTCGACCGCCTTCGGATAAAAGCATGGCTGGCCACCTGTGGTGGGTCTCGGACCTGCTCCGTACCAAGCAGATTGATGACATATTTTGGTGCGACACTCGAGACATGAGGTCCGACCCCATGACGAAGGGGAGCATCGGCCTTGAATTCATTCCCAACGTCGTGGACGGGAAGTTCAGCTACGACCACGCCGCCGTCAGGCTAAACGAGGAGCGCAGGAAGACCGTGTCGATCCCGCGCGCGAAACCAAAGGCGACCATAATTACGAAGTCATCGGTTCGCCCGATATTACGGGATAGGACGCCCCGATGGCGAAGTACGAGGCATACACTCGCGTCTCGCGAACTATGTTCGTTAATGCGACGGAGTGAATCATGCATGTGAGAGGATTGCCTCCAAGAGCTATGTCGTTGGAACAGCAGGCGATTGAAAACCGAGCGTGCGAACGGTTCAGCCTTTTTTGTTTGTTTGTTTGTTTTTTGGTAACAAAACAACAGAAAAACCAACACATAATATATATATAATATGTATATTTGTATACGCATAGTAAAATAACATTATTAGTATTACAAAATGTTCACCCATACCGAGGCTCTGCCTAGACGGGTTCTTACTCGGTTAACTTAAAAGGCCGGGCAGTGCACAACGCCCCGGGCGGTTCCCCCAGTCCCCTGGGACCCAAGCGAAAGCAACAGCAAAGGTAAACGTGAAGGCAGAAGCGAAGGCAAAGCAAACACATAGCATAGCATAGCATAGCATAGCATAGCACAGCATATCATAGCATAGTGCAGCACAACATAACGCAGCACATCATAGCATAGCATAGCCAGTCTAGCCTATCCAAGCGTAGTCCAGCAAAACACTGCGCAGCATATCGTAGCATAGCATAGCATAGCATAGCATAGCAGAGCCGATCATAGCATAACATAGCATAGCGCAGCACAGCATCCACTATTGCTGCTGCTTTATATATAGATACACATGTATTTCTATGTGTGTGTGCGCGCACGTATGTTACCTATATGTGTGTGTGTGCGTGTGCGACCGACAGTGTACTTATGTGTGTGTGCCATTCTCAAGCACGAGCGAATGCGAAAACATGCGTGTGTGTGTCTGTGCGCAGGCAAAGCAAAAGCAACACCAAGCAACATCAAACACACAAGCAAAGCAAACACAACAGCAACAACAAAAGCAAAAGCAAAGGCAATGCAAGGTAGTTGCAAAGGCACGAGCAAAAGCACAGGCAATGCAAAGTAAGCACAACATCGATGCGAAAGTGTAGATGTAGATGTAGTTGTAGATGTAGATGTAGATGTAGATGTCGATGTAGGTGTAGATGTGGATGTAGCTGTAGCTGTAGTTGTAGATGTAGATGTAGATGTAGATGTAGGTGTAGATATAGATGTACCTGTAGATGTAGATGTGACTCTCGCTGTTGATGTTGATGTAGATGTAGATGTAGGTGTAGATGTTAATGTCGCTGTCGGTGTAGATGTAGATGTTGCTTTCCTAGATGATCCAACTCCTAGGTAGGGTAGCGCCGGGATAATTGTTTCAAAGAAAGAAACTTTAAACACATTCTTTAATTTATATATATATATATAGAATTTGAAAAGAGGGCGTGGTCAGTAGAACATCCTCTCATCAATCGTCTGCTCTTGCTTCGTTGGTTTGTGCACGATTTGCGCGCGTGGGCCGGCGAGGCACAGCATGCGCGCTTGAACACCAGGCTCGAATGGTGGGTATGCCTTCTCTGTTCACCTCCTCCCCCTCCTCCCTCTCCTCCTCCTTTGCCCCCCCCCTAAGCTAAGAAGATGAACGGGGCGGCTGCAGCGAGGTACTTTTCATGCCTGCGTGGGGCTTCCACTTCCTCGCCACGTGGAAGGCGGTGGCGTCCCACGCAGGACTCCACCATCCTCCGCGCCCCGCGCGAGGAGGAAGAGGAAGAGGAGGAATAGACGGAGGAGGAGGAGGAGGACGAGGACTTGGAGAAAAAGGAGGTGGAAGAGGACGAGGGGGATGATGAGGAACAGTAGGACTATTATGCGAAATATGCTGGTGTTGATGGTGATGGTGATGATGGTACTAATGGCGATGATGATGTTGATGGCAATGATGCTGTTGCTGATGATGATGACGGTGGTGATGATGACGATGATGATGAGTCTGGTGATGATGATAATGAGGGTGATGATGACGATGCTGATGCTGATGATGATGACGATGATGCTGATGATGCTGATGATGATGATGCTGATGATGATGACTACGACGACGACGAGGACGAGGAGGAGGACGATGATGATGATGATGAAGACGATGACGATGACGATGACGATGACGATGACGATGACGATGATGATGATGATGATGATGATGATGATGATGATGATGATGATGATGATGATGATGATGATGATGATGATGATGATGATGATGATGATGATGATCATGCTGATGAGGAGCAGGGGGAGGAAGAGGAGCAGGAGGAGGACGGGGAGGAGGAGGGGAAGGTGCATTTGGAGCCCTTGCGCAGTGCAACGTCCGGGTATATCGAGATGCAGGGAGGAAGGTCAAAACATCAGTCGGCCTATGGATCCCAATCCCTGATGCCCGATGCCTCTGTTGTAGCTACCTCTCGCTCATGCTTCCAGCGAGCCGCCAGGGCCGTCTTGTGTGGCCCTGCGTAACTTGGGAACTTGCCTTACGACATTCTGGCCATTTCCCCGCCCAGTCTTGGAAGTGGGAGAACATCCAGCGGCAAGCTGGCGGCCATCAACACTGGCTGCACGACCGCAAAGTTGACAAACATACAGTAAAGCGGTCCCAATACCCGAGATGTTGTGACTCATGCAGGGAGGACCCACATACTTCGACGGGCCCAGTGACCGAATTGGCCCAATCTTTGGGCCTTCCGTGGGCCGCCTCGAACAAACAGTCCGAGGCACAGATATCAAGAAGCTTGCCCCAGTCGAGAACAACCAGCATCAAGAACAACGGTAACGACTCCCACACCTTTAAACAGAAGGAGCGCTGGCACGGGTAGCAATGTCTCGCTTGGTGCCTAACCAGGCTCTCTTTGAGGCTAGAAGAGCGTCCGTGGTTTGAATAGGGTCTGCTGGTGCAGCATCTGGCTGGGCTCGCCTAGCTCTCCTTCTAACGAAGGTGGCAATCGTGTCCTACTGGTCGGTGGGAGGGGGATTGTCCACGAGGGCGGCGGTCCAATTGCGCTCGCACCTCCCCCGCAGCAAAGTCCGCCGTAGCATTCCCAGTAGCCAGGAATCCTTGCCCTGACCATGAGGCTGGGGTCATCAGGGTCGACATGAGAGGGGGTCCCGTCCAAGGTGACCTCACCTTCACCCCTTGAAGCAAGGACTCTACGGATGCGGAGCCACAGATCACCGGTCCGCCCGTCACACATCAGAATATTGCCACGTTCTCACCCCACAAGAGGCTTGTGAATAGTAGTACAATTCGGAGGATGCCAAGCCCGTGTGGAGTAAGTCCTTACGGAGTGCTCGGTCTCCGTCTGGGCTTACTCGTTTTGACAGGATGCGAATTCCGTGCGGAGCAAGTCCGCACGGAGTGCTCGGCCTCCGTCGGGGCTATCTCGGTCTGGACTTCGCCTCCCCTCCCCCTCCCCCTCCCCCTACTCCTCCTCCCTCCTCCTCCTCCTCCTCCTCCTCCTCCTCCTCCTCCTCCTCCTCCTCCTCCTCCTCCCCCTCCTCCCCCTCCTCCTCCTCCTCCTCCTCCTCCTCCTCCTCGTCCTCCGTGCTGAAGAAGGAGCTGGGCCTCGCGAGCACGAAAGAGCAGGATCAGCAGCAGCGAGTCCCGCGCGAGGCACGGCCCGGGCTCGGCCAGCAAGGCCGGCAGAGACCCTCCCCTGGCAGGACCCACTCCCCAGCATTATGTTGCTCAGGAGGGGAAAAAACACACAGACACAATTAGTCGTCGATCCCCATGAAAATATAGAAAAATATGGGAACTGGGCGGAAAGACAAAAACCCAGAAAATATAGGAAAATATGGGGAATCCTTTTATTTGTGTGTATTTATTTGTGTGTCCTTGGGCCCCTTCAGTTGCTCCCATCGTGCTGAAGGCCACATGCCAGAGAGAACTTCGTGCACCCAGAAAAGTATCTCGGGGGCGGACAGAACCCCCAACAGTGACACGTCGATTAGTGAATTGTCCGTTTTCGGTTCTCGAGAGGGCGCCGTGGCCGTTATTTTCCAGGCTTGCGCCCGTCAATCCACAATAGCGGCGACGAGGGTCAGAGGAGAAATGCCTCCCCACCCCCCCTCTGAACCACCGCCAACAATTACGGTGGTAGTGCCTTCCTGGCAGCGGCTGGACCGGGAGATTCCGTAGACTTTCACGCAACAGGTAGCCTCTTCAGACTCAGGAGAGGGTGGATGAGCGAGCTACTTAGAGGGAGCCCCTAGCAGCCACAATCCTGGGGCGGCCTCCGTTCCCGCCAAAGCGTGGGGAGTGAGACTGTCGTTCTTCGTATGATCCTCATGGCCAGTGTTGGCCTCGCCAAGCCACACGTAGTGCATCAAGAATCAGGGCATTTTTTGTAGCGAGGGCAAAGCTGCTCCCGAGACGAACCAAGGGGAACTTGCGCACGCGCTGCCATTGAGTATCCCCCACCACGGCCATAGTGAGACCGTACTCACTGTGCGGTCCATCCTTGGAAAACCGAGCCAACTCGCGGCGACTCAGAACCGTATCCGTTCCCTCCTGCAGATCAGACCCCGCTTTGTGCTGAGCAGTTTTAGCCCAATGGAGGGCCCTGAGGTCTTCACGGAGATTCCCCACGAGCTCTGAAACATCAATTTCAGACGTATCAACACCGGCTTTGGTGCACAGCCGACACTGGACCGCCACCTGACAGTACCCGCTTGCCTGAGCCAGAAACCAGTTGCCTCCTAACTTCGAGCCAGGATCTTGACGCCCAAACTTGGCTTCTAACACCGTGGTGAGGCAACGACCTGGGAGCTTGCCGCAAGCTGAAACCGCAGCTTGCCTGCGCAACGCAATAACGTTACTGGGAGGCAAATTTGGAACCTTCTGGGCATATGTGCCCTGAGAAAGAGCTCCTGTTGCTCAGAGCCCTTGGGCCATTTTCTTCAAACAAGCGTTACGCCGAATCCTCTGCGCCCTGTGGAAAGCAGCCTTGAGTCTTGCACTCGACTTCGTGACTGATCGAAACGTGCCAGCACTAACAACCGCCCCGAGATCGGTATCAGCTTCGGCTTGATCGCTGGGAGACTTTTTTTCTGAGCGAAGCGGCCGCCTAGGACCCAAGACTAGAGGAAGAGGACATTGCGAGGGTCTTACTGGAAACGACCAATCGGCCCCTGGTGACCGCATCCTTCAGAACTGAAGACGCTTGAACGATCTGCTGCTCAACCTGTGCTCCCCCTCTTTCCACACGCAAGAAGTATCGTCGATAAACATCCAAGCGACGCAATTGCCGCTCGTTTGTGAGCCGCGTCTGGCAAGTGACGCAACGACAGTTTTGCTGCCCTGACTCCGTGAGGCGACCCATTCACTAAGGACCGAGCGGGGAGAATGGCATCCGTAGCCCGTTGCTGCCCACGAAGCCTACCGGGTGCAGCGCAGAGTCGGACCTCTAAACTCACCACAGTCGCTGGAAGCTTTAACCGCAGGGTGGCACCCTCTAGCACCCCCCAGGAAACGCTGTAGTAACACTTTTCGAGAGCAAGCAAAAAGGTGGCCACCGGACCCCTGCAGACACTCAGCAGTTTCGTCCAGGACAGAGCGAGCGCGGGCGGCCTGCATGGCCGAACTTCCGCGATGGCCGTGTCTCAGAAGTCACCCAAATCCTGAGACCACCGAGAGGTGAAACCGTACTTCAGCCGCGACCAAAGGTGAGCCGACTCAGGTAGCAGCCCCTTAACTCATTATTCTGATGATGCGTTATCATTATGATTATGAGGACGAGGAGGATGATGATGCTGCTGTTGATGCTGATGCTGCTGCTGCTGATGCTGATGATGATGATGATGATGACGAAGACGGTGACGATCACGATTTTGTGAATGAGGATGGGGATGAGGATCATGAGGATGATGCTGCTGCTGCTGACGATGATCATGATGTCATGCTAGTTGTGCTGCAGTTGTGGTAATACTTGTGGTTGCGGTTTTGGTTGTGGATGTTGTTGTTGTTGTTGTAGTTGTAGTTGTTGTAACTGTTTTTTTGTTAATGTTTTTTTTTGTGATGTTGATGTCGGTCATGCGGTTGTTGTTGTAGTTGTGGTGGTTGTTGTTGTCGTTGTTGTTGTTGTTGCTGTTATTGTTGTTGCTGCTGTTGTGTTGCTGTTGCTGTCGTTGCTCTTGTTGTTGTCGTCGTTGTCGTTGTCGTTGTCGTTGTCGTTGTCGTTGTCGTTGTCGTTGTTGTGGTTGTGGTTGTGGTTGTTGTTGTTGTTGTTGTTGTGGTTGTTGTTGTTGTTGTTGATAATGTTGTTGTTGTTATTGTTGTTGTTATTGTCGTCGTCGTCGTCGTTGTCGCCGTTGTTGTTGTCGTTGTTGTTATTGTTGTTGTTGTTGTTATTGTTGTTGTTGTTGTTGTTGTTGTTGTTGCATTCGCAGTTCTAAAACATAACTCTGAAGCGCAGCTGTTGTTGATCCCCCCCAGTGCCCATTGTGCTTTTCAATTGAAGTGCGCCTCCGGGGGCTCGCACCCTGTATTGTACAAGAGGACGTCTTGGGCCTCATAATGTGCTCCTGGCCCTCGAACTACCACCACAATGGCTCCCGCCTGATACTTCTCCACAACTTATTCAAAATCGCGCTCGCGCGGGACTTCCTCATAATTATTTTCTTCAGGAATCGCGCTCTCGCGCAGGACTTCATTACGATTCATTCAGGCGCCGCGC